TCAGCAGACTATGCATCAGCACTATGAGATGGGACTGGTCCTGCAAATACTGAGGTCATTCTGGTTCTTGTCACCAGATGGTGTTCCAGAGCAGCCCAGATCCTGACAACAGTAAGGCTTAAGTAGGGGATAGGCAAGCTGGTGCCCTCCAGATATTTTGAACTACATCCCCCCTAATTCAATTCAAGCTGCAACAACGCAGAGTCAGGCTAGATATAGGAAAAGCTTCCTCACTGTCAGAACAATATGACAGCGGAACCAGCTCCCTAGAGAGGTGTTGGGCTCTCCCACACTAGAGACATTCAGAAAGAAACTGGGCAGCCATCTGAGTGGGATGGTGTAAATTGGTGTCCTGCTACAGCAGGGGGTTGGACCTGATGGTCTTCATGGCGCCTTCCAACTCTACTATTCTATGGTTCTATGATATTAAACTTCAACAACTGCCCATGATGGTGGGAGCTGAAGTCTAAAACACCTTGAGAACACCAGGTCGCCTTATTCTGCCCCGGGGTGTTCTGAGAGCTTGCTGTTCTGTTCATGGAGCTGCCTGTCTGTTTCAAATAATTTGTCACAACAAGGTGGCTATAGTGTTTATTCTTGCCATTCTAGAACTTCAGTTGTTTCTTTGTGGAATAGGAATTCCTGCTGGAGCAGGAGAATGTGGGTGCAAAGAAATGCTTCTGTGTGCATTATGTTGTGTGATTCCCCTCCCTCTCGCAGTCTCATAAGCTTGGAATTCTATTTTCAAGCCACTTGATTCAGTTTCTTGCTTTGATACATGGCCTGCTGATGAAATAAAGAGGTTGCACAGGAGTGCTTTTGTGTAGCTGCTTTTGCTACAATACACAAAAGGATAGAGTTTGGGTGTTCTGAGGATTTGCTGCTTTGACTGCAGGCTACATTCACACTGCACAGTATAATCCATGGCTGTTATACCCATATTGTTGGGAGGGAAAGTAGAGGATGACATGATTGTGGTGTAATGCAGAGTTGATACGCAGTCTGCTAGGGATGGATTCCAGTAGAGAGGGTTTGTGAAGCATTTGATAAAAGAAATCTACTTGCCTTCATCAAATAATTTCACGCATTTAATTTCCTTCTGATCTCACTATTTACAATCCCCCACTACCTTATAGTCCTGAAAGCACCCAGTAGTACTCCATGTATCTGAGGGTGAGTTCAAGTCCACAAAACCTTATGCCAGAATACATTTTTAGTCTTTTAGTTGCCAAAGACATTTTGTTGTTTTTGCTGTTAATACAGTTTCTCTGAACTGATGTTTGTGCAGAAGATGGGAGGCATGCTGTTAGACCATATGAGAAGCAAAATTATGTTTTTTGAGTGTTTAAAATTTAATATCAGTTATAAGAGCTTCAGGCTCCCTCCGTAGAGTTGCTCTAAAATAAATATCCACGGAGGGTACTGGATAGATCCTGTCTCTACTGCACATGTGTATGAGTAGACACCGTGATGCAATGTACAGATGGCCATTTTACATGCTGCAGAGTCTTAATATGAACATATTGGCTTTGGGTGCACATGTGTCCTGCTTAGCTGTTGTGCCTGAATTGAAGCAGGGAGTCAGTCTGTGCCACTTTTGTGTGTGTGCTTGTGTGAGAGCTAGAGGAAACAAGCTAATACTTCAGTGTGTGTGTGGGGGGGGGGCAGGGGGTCTCTTTGTACTCTATCAAAGAAAATCTTGCATTTGTATTGAGTTCTCTACCATGGAAGGGATTCAGTGTTTTGTACGTTGCTGGCCAAGTGCGTGTCCACACAACAGTTGTGAGTTCAGTACTGGGGACAGAGTGGAGGACCCACCACCCCTGCTTGGGAGAGCTACCACCAGTCTTGGACTAGTGGACTCAGATTTATTTAATCTAAGACAGCTTTTTTATCTTGCCAGTTGAGAGAGAAGTAGCAGCAAGGGAATAAAAATGATGCTTTCCAAGGACCTTGTCCCTCACGAAGATTGTTCCCAATACTTCTTTCTTGAAGTTACAGTCCAATTCAAGCCATTTCTTGGCTTCAGTGAAGGGGGACATATTTTATCACAGCAGAACCAAGTCACAGAGGGTACTTTGTGCAATGAATCAACGCAGCATTTGGTCTACTTCATTAAAAACATCAAACACACTGTTGATGCAGGTGGGAAACAGGCCAGATCCTTGCCTTCCTCAGACTAAAGCATCCTAATATTTGGTTGCAAAATAAAAATATCTTCCCTTAATTGGTATTTATAGAATTTATTGGTTCACCTTCTTATTTGGATTTGGCGAAATATATTTTTCATTTCATTGCCCTGAAAGGCTTTGGACATGATACAGTTCAAATACTTCTTGCCCTTTATGTCTCCAAGGTCTTCAATGTCTCATTGAAAACATAATTTGCTTTCATTTGGCTTAGAGAAAAGTTTGTAAGCTGTCCATGGGAAATCCAAGTGCAGAGATAGGTATTCAAAATTTTCAATCATATTCACAATGGCTCATTATATGTATTTTGGCTGATGTTACTTACTAGTGGTCATATTACAACCCTGAACAAACCATATTAAAAATCGTGCACAGAAGAAACTTCTTATTTTCAAGAGGGTGATTGCTAGAATGGTAAAAGTCTCTTCATGGAAAAAAGAACAATCAGGATGTCTTACTGTATGCAGAAAGAAACTCTGGACTGTTGCATTGATGGAGAAGCTAAGAAAACAGATTCACAATACTAACAGCAATAAAGGCTATTAACGAAAAATGCATTTTGAGGTATCTTTCTCGAGCTTTGTGCATTACAGCCAATTACAATCAATCTACTGTGTACCCCAATTAATTTGGATTGATGTTGACTGCACATATTAATCCTATTCTGCAACTAACCACTGTATCCTGTGTTTCATGCAGCCAGATGTTATATCCTTCTGTTATTAATGTAAAATTTAATACCATTAAAAACACAAAGAAATGATTAACTGTCTCAATCATGAACACTGAACGCTGAACTGCCTTGCTAAAACAGCACTCAAAAGCCTTTCCGGGATACACAAAGTACTGCCATCTTCTGTCTTCCAGAACTCCAGGTCTTATTCTGTTACATCTGCCCACACAGACAACATGGAAGATTTGCACAGTACTGGGACAGTTTAAAAAATTAATGCTTACATCAGCATGAAATATGCAAATACTGGGTTTTTTATATTATCCATAACCTGCCTCCTCTATAATTCTATTAATATTTCTCTTACAGTCCAAAAGTCTTGCAGCCACTTGGGGAAAGTGCTAATTCTGCTGTAACGTATTTTAGGACAGGGAACAAGGCTGTACAGTGAAATTTAAGCTGATCTACTGTAAATCTTTCTTTGATTTATATCCCACCTTTTCTCTTTTCTTTTTTTAAAGCACTCAAGTATATCACATAATACAGTGGTACCTTGGCTCACAAACTTAATCCGTTCCTGGACTCTGGTCGTGACCCAAATTGGTTGTGAGCCAAGTTAAATTTCCCCATACAGTTCAATGTAAATAAGGTCAATCCGTTCAGTAACTATTTTTTTAATCAGAAAAATGTGATGCAAAGTGACAAAGAACAACAAAGATCGCGTCCATCTCCCTACCCACCCCCCAGCACGACCATGAGCGCACCAGTCATCCCAGCGCGCTGGGGGGGGGAAGAGACAGGAGCGATCGTGGCCGCGCTGTGGGGGAGAGATGGGTATGCTCGGGGGGAGGCGAGCACCATCACGGGCATGCTGGGGCGGGGGGGGGGGGGGGAGGGGGGGGAGCCCGGGTGGGCCCCTGGGGGAAAAACAGGACCAACCCCCGGCCCCCCCCCCCCCCCCCCCGCCGCCCAGCACGATCACGGCCATCTCCCCACTTGGAGATGGTGTGTGGAGACGGCCGCAATCACGGTCGCCACCAAATGCAGAGTTCTTGACCCGAGTCAATTTTTTAATGAAATGTTTGTTCATGACCCGATTTGGTCGTTAACTGAGGCGTTCATGAGCCAAAGTACCACTATACTACCTGTCCTGCTTCCAATCTTATTCCCATAACAAGAGCCCTGTGAGAATTAGGTTGGGCTGAGCATCTGTGACTTGCCCAAAGTTACCCAATTGGCTCCATGGCTGAGCGGAGACTTGAACCCAGATTGCCTGAGTCCCACGATCTTAACTACTATGCCACACAGGTTCTCATTAGTACCATCGCAAACAGTGCATGAATTTGGTATGCCAGTACGTGATTTTGCCTGGGACTGAAGATGGGAAAACAGGACAAACTATATTCTATAGTAAGCGCTGCAACTAAAGTGCACAAAAAGGGTCTAGTTGAGTTGTGTGACAAACACACTGGGCACTGGAGAAGCTTAAACACAACATTTTCCAAGTAACCTAGAGAAAATGCGGTCATAAAAAATCATGTTGCTACCCCAATTTGTCAGTGCTGAGGACTGAGTTACAGCTGAGCTAGACACAAATATTTAAGAGGCTAGAAACTAGGATATTTTAAGATACACTGTGAAAAGTCTGTCTTAATCTGGGTTGTGAGGTGTACAAACATGATGTTCTGTTACACATCAAAAGCACCAGCCAATTAATGTGATGCAGCTCTTCCTAGACTGTACGACTTGAATTAGCTTGTGGGAGTTTTGTTCCATAGCTTATTTTGTATTAGAATGCACACAAAAGAATGTACTGTTAATGGTGCCCCATGTAAAGAAAACTTCTTGCACATAAAAAAACCAGCACAAAAGGAAGATGGCTTGCCTGCAAGCAGTCCTATATGTGCCACTTTCTACATGCAGGCAGCTTAAAGGTGGTTTATGATACAGTGGCAGAGAATCAGGGTGGATGGTCTGCAGACCTACGCTGGCTCACGACTGAAGTTCTGCTCACCCCATTTTACTATAAAACTAACAAAACATCTTAAGAAACTTAAGAAAGGTGTGAAAAGGAGCACATGCAAGATCTATCTTTTAAAAAAACAAAAATAATTTGAAATGTACAAAATGCTCTATACCTTTATCAAGAGATGCTCCGGCCATGTGATAAAAACTTAATGCTGTATCCACGTCATTTATATTTTTCAAGAAAGTGAAGAAGTTCTCTACCTCCTCAAACGTCAGCCCCTGAAATGGGATTGGAAATATCTTTAGATTTAAATTAAGGATTTTAATGGATGCACAAACCAAATCGCAGGACTATTATGTTTTAATTTTCATATTGGCAATTTGTTTTGTGATACAGCCCCAACTTGTTGCCCTTAACTCACAGAACTGGCTAAACTGGAAATTAAAGAAAAAGCTCCGTCTCTCATAATTTATTTATTTATTTATTAAAACATTTTTATGCCGCCCCATTCGCCGAAGCCTCGGGGCGGCTCACATCATCACCATTAGTTGCAAATTTGTTCCCCTTCTATAAAATCAAGATAGAGATAAAAGCTGAACTATAAAGATCCCTCTGCAGTGGAGAATGTCAACATAGTAAATGTGTAGTTTCAACTGTAAACAGTGAATTCGCCCTCAGGGGGAAAATAACATGTCAAAATAAAAGGGTTCAATTTAGATCTTCACATTACTGGTAACATCTGCTATAACACTGCTCGAAATGTTTTCTGTAATATGAACTGCCTTTACTCAGGGGTAAATCATACAAATAAAAACATTTTAAAATCCCAGGAACAAGTCCTACTATGCTAATAATTCTTACAGATGAGCAGAAGCTTTTTATGCTGTAAAGAAATAATTAGGTAATTCAAAAAGCCCAATTTTTCAACATTCAATACCTGTTAATTATGCCTTGCTTTGATGTCAATGTACTATGCAACTGGAATAAGAAAGGCAAAGAATTAACTCCAATCTATGATATAAATTAAGGATTTTAATGAATATACCATTTAGAATGATATACCATTTAGAATGAAATGCTTTACATTCAAGCCATATACTGTATTATCATAAAATCTATTTCTCTTAGAAACACAAAAGAAATGAGTAGTTACGTACAAATTAAAAGCTACTTGGTTTCAGCAATGTTCTCAATGAAATATGACGATTCAACCGAAGAAAAGAAAGGGAAAAAGAAAAGGATCCTTTTTGTTCAGCACAAAAAGTAAGGACTTTGGGGTCAATGCAGAACAAGAGAGTTCACAAAGGGATAATTGCTGCAAAATATCATCTAAGTAATACCAGTTTGACTACATTAATGCATTTGTAGTAATCAAGTACATGTTCCATACATGAATAGGTCATCTGCATGAACTGGAGTTTCCTTGCTCTCTGTGAATTAGCAAATATTCCGTGTGCCCAATGTGGAATACAGGGGTCCACTCTGTAACACTGAAAACAGAGGGACATGTGGCCAAACTACATGTAGTGGAACACAACAGAACTTTGCACTTGCCTGAAATACCACATATCTAGCTTTTAAGGAAGTCAGTCCAACCCATCTCATGCTTTTTGATTTATCTTATTGGCTGAAACTTGTAGCTATTACATCATATTTGGCCCATGCTGCAATTAGAAGCCAAGTAGCATGGCTTCAGCTCCAAAAAACTTTTCTTTAAGAACACTCTCTGAAAAGCTTTAACCACTAAAAGAATGGAACACTTCAAATTAAGTAGCAATATTGATTTTTAGCATTCTGGAGAACTTCCAATTTGAGAATGGAACATTGGTATTTACCAAGAAAGTTCCTGCTGGGTTGTTCTGTGGAAGACATCCAGCAATGGGTCAACTCCCACTATTACCAAGGAAAATGGAGGGACCATGTGATGGATTTTTGAGGACTCTATTGGTCCCAGGTTCCATCAGTGGCTATTGCTCAGAAATAAAGAAAAGCAGAAACTCTCCCAGGTATAGTCATGAGAAGACCCACAAGGACACACAGATTAAAGTGAAGATGGGTATCAGACTAGAGTCCTAAAGAAGAAGGACCAATGTAAGGGTAGCATGGCCAATTGCTGCAGAATTGTGCATGTACAGAAAAAGGAGAAAATGAGGGTGTAGCTGGGATGCCATCCAAATGCCAACCCAGAAGGAATCTTCTAAGTACCAATGTTCTGCTCCCAAGGTTGGTGTGAGGAATGAATCCCACAATGGGGTACAGCTACCATTTTGGGTAGGAAGATTTACAAATTAACAGTCTGTGCTGCAGAGATATATGTGTGGCATTTTATGTCTGATGGAAGAATCTGGATTTTCCCAAATTGCTGCCTTGCATATTTCAGCCAAGGATGCACTGGTGCTTAAAGCAGTCAAGGTGGCTGCTGACTTAGTTGAGTGTGCTATAACATGGGGAGGTTTGTCAAAATACAATGGATCCTATACCAGGAATATACATGTGTGCAGCTCTCTGGCCCAGGGGTCCTCAATCTTTTGGGATACATTTCAGAATTTAAGAAGTGGCTGTGGGAACCACCACGAAACGTCTAATCAGTGCACTGCCACTTTGATGTACAGATCTTGGCTATGTCTTATGCAGGAAAACCATTTGTCTCAAGTCTATTGGACACTGCAATATCTCTTTAATAAGGTATTTTTTTAATTCAGCTAACTGCTGATGGTGCTTAAAAACACTTCTTTTAAACGTAAGTTTGGCAGCATCTAGTACTTGCTTCTTTTTGGGCAGAGGTTATTGCTCACATACATTTTGTACTGGAACCATCTTTAATAGTCATCAATGTACAGACTTGTTTTAAATTATTTATTACTTAATTTCATGGACATTAAGAAGTGATTGTTATAAATGGATATTCAGTGCACTTTTGACAGCTTAAAGACTGCTATTATAACACAAGAAAGATTAACAGTCACCTCCTATACTGGAATGGATTGAGGACCTTAGAACACTTTCAGTATTTGGTTGGGTGGTTTAAAGCTGCCATCTTCAAATGGATACTTGTTTGGATATTCAGCTCACTTTTGTTGAAACTTATAATTGCTAGAAAGGATTTATGCATATCATACAAATCCATGTAAGTATGCTGAAAAAAAGGGAGGAAAGTTTGGGTGCCCACAAGTGTTGTACCATGGACCCAAGGTAGATCTGGGCAGCTTATTTGTCCATAGCTGTTGGGCGAAACGATATGAAGAAAGAAACTGATTATCTAAGGAACGGGTATGTTTAAGGTAGCTTCTTAATGCCTGTGTGCATCCTTCTCCTGTAATTGAGATGGATTAGGACATAAGGTGGGTAGGATCAGTTCCTGAGTTCGATGGAATGAAATATTAACTTTAGCAATGAATGCTGCTCTGTCCTGAGGATTACTGTGTCTTTTTGAAAGTTCACTATTTATATATTGAATTGTTTACTTACACAAACTGTTTACTGAGAGGGGTGATATGATGACATTCTGCATGCAGAAGAAATTGCTATTAGGAATAAGACTTTTCAAGACAACTTTCTAAGTGGAACAGATTTAAGTAGTTGAAATGAAACATCTGTTAATGCTGTGAAGACCACATGTAGACTCTGTAATGGGAATCTCTGAATCATGCGAGGCCTTATTAGAGAAGTTCCCTTGAGGAATCTTTTAAATGAGGGTGTGCGCTTAATGGAGGACAGCATGGTGTCTGCGCAGTGTCTGCATCTTCCTGTGCCAAGTGCTGGATTTTAGGCCCAAATTGCGGCCTACATGGAGGAAGAGGAAAAGTTCTTTGATGCCTGCTGTTTGGGTTCTGATCTTTTTTTCTGCAGCATGTGAAGAATGTCCTCCAAATGGTGTTGTATTTGCCTATGAGGGATCTTTATGGAATGCCAGCAACATATTGATGACTGCATTGGGCTATCTTGCAAGAGATGGAGTTTCTAATAGCCTTGTGGCTAAGGGAAGTCATCCTGGATCTGGGTGAACACCTGCTGAGAAGAAGGAAATTCACTTTCTGAGCAAAGAGTGATGGCTCTTGATAGCTTTTGATGTGCCAGGCATAGCTCTTTATTGGGTGAAAAGCAGGGACAAACAGACCAGGAAGTGTTTAGGACCAAGAGAACAATGGAAAAACAGAGTACTTTTCTGTGGGTGACAGGAGGAATTAACCCACTCTATTAATGCTAACCTGAAGAAAACAGTGTGCATGCTCAAGTCAAGCGCAGACCCCACTGTTCTTAGTGGAACTTGTTCCACAACAGCCTTCCATGTGTTGAGTTCTATAGAAAGAATTCAAGAAGGTACATAATGAAACACACTATAGTATTCAGGTTTGGAGGGGAGGGGAGAGAGGGGAGGGGAGGGGAGGGGAGAGAAGAGAAGAGAGAAGGGGCACTATCCAAAACACTTTTCTAAAGTATTGAAGACTTCTCTCAAAATGAAGGGCTGATTTAGTGTCCCATGTGATAAACATATCAGTAGCCATAATGTGAGTAACATGGAACAAATTGCTCTGCCATTACCCTAATAGGATGTATCCATTACTTTTCTGACAAACTAAGATCTCAGTTGGACAGGTTCTTTGCTAGATGGCAGCTACAAGGATAGGCCCTGCTTAATTCAGAAGCTTAGGCTTATCAGGTGTCCCCAGCCTTTCTTACTCAGGTGGCACAAGGGGATTTTGAGAGAATATTGTACTAGGGGCTCTTCCAAAATAGGTAGGTGCTCTTCCAAAATAGCTCCTGCAGGGTGTGTGTGGATAAACTGCTGAGACTACAGGAAAGGCAACTTGCCCCCAAATCTTGCAGAGCGAGGGCCCTCAGAACACAAAACTCTTCTTCCAAACTCTTTTTTCTTTCAAATAGAGATGGTGCTGGAGGGCGGAATAAACTTCGCAGTATGCCAGATTCTCATTTTTAATGTTAAAACATCTTAAATGAATACAGCCTGACTAATACACAAACAGGTGTCTGAAGGTGCAGTGGAGACGGTAGGCACCATTTTGGAGAAAGGATAGCCAGGTGGCTCACCTAACGCCACGAGTCTAGGTGATGTAACTGAATCAGAAGAAATAAATGGGCTGTATGAAAGGAGATGCTACCATAAAAATAATCTAGTGAGCTGTGAAATAGAGATGCCTGACCTCGACATTTCTTCCAAAGTGTTCTTATTGTCACTTTCTGGCTGGTAACAAAAATGCAGTGACATCAATTTACTGCAATGTATGTAGTGAGATGGATGAACGACTCTAGCATCACT